TGTTCTAGTTCCTAATTTAATAAAGTGCATTTTTTAAAAAAAATGACGTGAAATGTTGGAATACAACTTTGGCGGGAGTAACTGCTTGTCCTCAGGAGACTGATTTTCTTTACTATGCCGTCAGGTGAATGACAAAAGATACTTGCGCTGCCCAGCAGCAATGACAGTGATGCATCTAAGAAAGTTCCTGCGGAGTAAAATGGATATACCTAACACTTTCCAGGTACCTATGGAGAAAGAGTCATTTTTTTTTTTAACATCAGTCTTGCTATTCTAAGCCTGCGAACGCTGGTTAGCCCTCATTTTCTCATTACAGCCAGTTCCAGCAAGTGGTAGCTACCAAGTGTTTCTGGTGTGTGCAATACGTTGATGGGATTATGAACATTATTTTTAAAATGTCTATCCGGAGAGTTTGGTGACACTGTAATTTTTTATTGCTGTAAATATCGAGGTATCAAGAAATTGCTCCTTAATGGGTTTCAAAGATATCTAATGGGTAGGGAAATTCCCTATTTCCTGCTGGGTTTGGCAGAGCATTTTTTTCAATTTTCTGCGAGATATGGCAGCGGGGCTGCTTCCACCTTAGAGCAGTCATACGCTAGGGGTAAACGCCTGGGTGCTCCTTAATGCAAGGATTCGTATCTTGAACAGATCGATGTGATGTACGAAGAGGAGCCTCTGAAGGACTACTACACCCTAATGGATATCGCCTACATCTACACCTGGAGGCGGGTGAGTATCTCCAGCGCGCCTCCTCCCGGGGGGTGCGGGTCGTGGCTGGGGAGGGCGCTTACCCGCGTCTCCCCTTTGCCTTGCAGAACGGGCCTCTCCCCCTGAAATACCGGGTCCGACCTACCTGCAAGAGGATGAAGATCAGTCACCAGAGGGAAGGCTTGAATAACAGCGGGGAGCTGGAAAGTGACTCTGGGAGCGACAAGGCGAGCAGCCCGGCGGGAGGCATCCCCTCCACCTCCTCCTGTTTGCCCAGCCCCAGCACGCCGGTCCAGTCTCCTCACCCCCAGTTCCCCCACATCTCCAGCACCATGAACGGCACCAGCAGCAGCCCCAGCAGTAACCACCAGTCCTCCTTCACCAACAGAGCACGGAAAACGTCGATAAATGGCTCCTCGGCCACTTCATCTGGTTGACGCGCCAACCAGGCTACCGCCCCCCCCCGCCCCTCCTTTATATAGATCTCTCCATGCCATTACAGCTTTATAGATGCTAATCCATGTGACTATCGTCCAAATTGCTTTCTTTTGTAGTGACACTGAACTTGGCTATAAAAGGCGGACTAGGTGACATTCGGGATGGACGTTAATGGAAACGCAAGATTGAAATGTAAATTGTTTTCAGAGGACTGGGAAGCAAACAAAAGTTACACCTTCACCTGTTCTGAGTGATGCGGAGTTGTTTCTGTCCCCATCATCTGGACTCGGGAGTCTCCAGAAGACGATACAAATCCCGGGAAGTAGTTTGTTAATCCAGACTAACTCCTCCATTGCGTTCTCTTCGATTGTTATTGTTCTTATGCTGTTTTGTGAACCTGTAGAAAGCAAGTGCTTTTTCATCTTGAAATCAAACAAAACCGAAAGAATATGCATAGAATAATGCATATATGTAGCCATGTCACTGTGAATAACAATTTTTGCGTATTAGCCATTTTGATTCTTATGTTGCATCTTTTACTTCTCTGTTGCTGCGCAGAACCGATCAAAAGAAAAGTAAACTTCAGTTTTACAATCTGTATGCCTAAAAGCGGGTATTACCGTTTTATTTACTGACTTGTTTAAATGATTCGCTTTTGTAAGAATCAGATGGCATTATGCTTATTGTACAATGCCATATTGGTATATGACATAACAGGAAACAGTATTGTATGATATATTTATAAATACTATAAAGAAAATATTGTGTTTCATGCACTCATGATATGGTTGTTAAATTTCTAAACTGGTTCGACCCTTGCAGATGCCGCCTGTTTGAGCTTTGCTCATACTGCAAGAAACACTTTGTGTGTGAGAGCTACAGTATTGGGAAAGCACATTCAAGTCTCTGATAACCTGGAGGCAATTGGCAATCTTAAAAGGATTTTACTGGCTTTGTCTTTTTTTCCAAGTGATATATTTTTACTTTACCAATTGTTGAAGTGATGCAG